AGTAAAGGGGCCCGTTTGAGCCTTGTTTCTGGAGACATGTTGCTGCTGGAAGATCGGAACGAGGGCTTAAAGAGTTTTCGAGTAGAAGAGCTTGTTAATGATGGTGGTGGAAATAGTAATTTTTCGTATATTGCCGTCGCGGCCGACTCCTGCACGGCGGAGGTGTTGAATTTGTTCGTCGGGGCCCACTCGTCCCGTCTGGAGCCCTCATGGGAGGACATGAATCTTTGGTACCAAGTGCAACGGCAAACGAAAGTACTCAATATCTTGAAAGAAAACGGTGTTTCGAGTAAATGTCTGCCCGAGATTATAGCTTCGGGCCGGGTCGTCCATGCGGGCCCGTGCGATAAGAAGGGCCCGAACGGAGTTTGCGATCACCCGTGGTGCGGTACGCCGGTGCTCGCCACGTGCCCCGTCGGAGATCCGGTTTCTTGTGTTGTCGGCCCGTTTTCGAGCGACGAAGCGACCCGTTTATGCCGGGATTGTTTAGCGGGTTTGCGGAGCGCGAAAACGTTAAATATCCTCCACGGAGATATCCGACCCGAGAATGTGATCCGGGTCGACGAGTCGGGATTCGTTTTGGTCTCGTGGGGCCGGGCCGTATTGGAGGATCGAGATAGCCCTTCGCTAAATCTACGTTTCTCGTCTACCCACGCCCTACAACATGGGAAGTTGTGCCCTTCTTCGGATATAGAGAGTCTCGTTTATCTAGTGTATTTTGTTGTTGGTGGATCAATGAAGGAGCAAGATTCGATAGAGTCCGCGCTGAGTTGGCGGAGGAGGTGTTGGGAGAAGCGTGCTATCCAGAGGAAGCTGGGACAGGTGTCGCCTATCCTGAAGGCGTTTGCCGATTATGTGGACAGCGTTTGTGGGACAACGTACGCCGTCGATTACGATGCTTGGTTGAGGAGATTGAATCGGGCCGTTGATGGATCGGACGACGGACGGGGTAAAATGGTCGAAGAGGGGGTGAGGGTTATGTGTGTGGCTGAGTCTTCGGGAACTTCTGGTGGTGGAAATTCTTTGTGATTTTTTTTTTCTTTAATTTTCCTTGAGGAGTTTTTGAATTGATTGATAATTGCATTTCATTGATTCATTATTTACATAGTTTTCATCTGTATTCATTATTTAATCATGTGAAATCAAGTTGTTTGATTAGAATTTTCCAGTGTTGTAGAAGGAGTTGACTTTTTCAAAGGTGGTTTTGTACGTAGATCTGTATCAATAATCACCCACTAAAAACATATATATATTGGTGTGTGTTATTATGTGTAGATTAATGCAGGATTACTTGATGTACTTCACTGAATGTAGCATCTACAAAATCTTACCAATTAGGAAGTTGCGTGCTAAAAAAAATGCGGACATGGGTTTTTGTTCACAATATTAATAATACGAAAAGTTTTTAGCAATTGGATATAACACGGTGATGCCGCATATAATAAACTCGTTTCTAAACTGTCTATTTTATTTATATGTTAGAGCTTTTGTAAGGTGTCGGGTGTAACTTTTGCTTCACCAAATATAGTTAATATTATAGTGAAAGCTACAAGATAAATTGTTGAGTTGTTGTATCACATATGAGAAACCAACGATATATAATGAAACGGGGTTGTAAATTCATCTTAAGAGAACGACTCCTTGGTCGCAGTTCAATCCACCTAAAGGTTCAACACCCTTTGATAACCGTTTTTAAAATGTATTCTAAAACCTTCTCGTGCTTTTCCAATTGTTAACAAATTGCATTGTGTATCTTATAGATATAATTCAAAATTTAAAAAATCACAAAATACATGATACGAACCCCGTAATACTCGTTAGAAGACTCAATACCTTATGCAAAAGCAAAATTTGGAATGTAAAAAACGATGGAATCAAATTGGCACAATTAAAGAATAATGAACATATAGCTGATCTACCAAATATCCATGGTTTATCATCATGATTAGCAACCACTATCGGAACAACTTCACAAAGAACTTCATCTTTGTACTTCTTAATAGAGAATGCAACAACTACTTGCTTATGCACCTTGAGTTCTCCATCAATATTAAACCATTGTAGCTCATAAGGTCTAGAATATTTAAAGTTTGAATAATCAAGTTTCCCACCAAAGTAATACGAACCACAAAAGTAGAACCACCTTCACCCTTATGGCACCAGTTATGAAACTATTATTTCTTTGCATCACGAAACCGTCTTCTTCGGCTTGTATTGGAAGAGTTTGGAATTCGATTAGCTTAGCAATCGCTCGATTACTTGGATGTATCGTATCATCATACGATTGAATATTAAATTTAAAAATAATTCAAGAAAATCATTTAAGTTTTAAATGAAGGAATTAATCCTGCATAAATCCCTATTGTACATGTGTTGTAGAAATCAAGCATCCATCAAAATTCCGTCCTATAATTAACGACATTAATTATTAGCGGATTGGATTTAAAAGGGGACTTCATAAGAAAAAAATAAAGCAAAGAATGTTTCACCCAGTAAATTACTCTCTTTTTTAAGAAGAAAAAACGTTGCAATTTTATTCAACTTGCTTTTCAGCAGATGCAATGTTACATATTGTAATAGAAAAAACATCCGGAACATAAGCTCCATCTTCGACAAAGCTGCTATTTCAGCCACTTGGTTTGTTTCTCTGAAAATGTATTGTATCCGAAAATGCTCGAACCACTCTCTCTCCTGCTTAATATCCTCAATAATATTTCCGTACATAGCTTCGAAAATTGCAGGTTCACAAATAACCTCCATCGAGTCACCTTCAAGTCCAATTCTTCTCCAATTATTTGTTCGATCCATTTCGACGGCCATGAACGCATCTTGAACTTCTGCCGCTGTGGGGTCCAGAGATTGTTTAATGCAGCGTTTTTCACATTTGCACAAATCTTAAGAATCTCAATGAATATATTTTGATTTTAGAAAATTAAATATTGTTACTAATCCATTCATAAAGAGCATTGAAAAGTTAATAAAAACACAATTGAAATATAAATAATGAATACAGTACTAAAATTATAAAGTAAAAGATAATATTAAATAAAATAGTTTCATCTTTTAACTAATAGATATTGTGCAAAGGAGTGAATACTAAATATAATATTACAGAAGAATTTAAATCCATGTTTTGTTTAACCTATGTTCAATGGTTGGTAGGAAACATAAAGGCAAAAGAGTTCCACATTTGAACCCTGCATTCTCGGTAGTTGCTTCCATTAACCCTCTATCTTCCATGTTAAAATGGTTATTTTTATACTACACTCAGTAAATGTTAAATCGGGTGAATTTTTATCGTTGATCTAGACACACCATTATGAGTTTGTAAATGTTAGTGTACTTATAAATGGTAAAAATCCAACCGGTGTATTTTACCCAGTATAGCATATATAGTATAAACCATTAAAAAATAACCATTTGAAACTAGCGTTGTGAACAAGTCAAGCTCGTTGATTTTTTTTTTTCTTTGTTTTGGCTCGAGCTCGATTCTTTTTTGTCGAGCTCAAGCTCGAGCTTGAGCCGAAGTTTATTTTGGATGTTCTTTTTAAAATTATTTAGATTATAATTAAAAAAAATATAACATAATCAGTAAACTATATATATATATATATATATATAGATATATATATATATATATATATATATATATATATATATATATATATATATATATATATTAATATTTCTATGTTCTTTTTATATTATTTCTATAATATTATATACATCATTTAAATAAAAAAATAATGTATAAAAAAAATAAGGTTCTCGAGTCAGCTCGTGAGCTCAGGAACAACTAAACAAAGCACAAACTCAAAAATTCTAGTTCGAGATTTTTTCGAGCCAACTCATCGAGCTCACGAGTCGGCTCAACTCGTTTACCG